CACTGATGAAGATCCAGGACCACAGCCTTAGGTATAGATTGCATCTCAATGTAAATAAAACAAAAATCCTCACCACTGGACCAATAAACAAGATTCTTATCAACACAGAAAAAAATGAAGTTGTCAAGGACTTAATTCTTCTTGGATCAACCATGAACACTCATGGAAACAGCAGATGGAAGCAGCAGTCAAGAAATCAAATGACATAATGCATTAGGCAAATCTGTTGCACAAGACTCCTTTAAAGTGTTGAAAAGCAAAGATGTCAGCTTGAGAACTAAGGTGTGCCTGACCCAACCCATGATATTTTCAATAATCTCATATGCATGCGAAAGCTGAATAGTGAATAAGGAAGACTAGAAGAATTGATGCATTTGAGTTATGGTGTTGGAGGAGAATATTGAAAGTACCATGGGCTGCCAAAAGAACAAAGAGATCTATGTTGGAAGAAGTGCAGCCAGAATGCTCCTTGGAGGCCAGGATGGCCAAACTTCGTCTGTCATACTTCGGACACATTGTAAGGAGGGACCAATCGCTCATGAAGGATATCATGTTTGGTAAGATGGAGGATCAGAGAAAAGGGAAGACCCCCCCACCCCCCAGAGAGATGGATTGGCCAAATGGCAGCATCGATGGACTCAAGCATAGAAACACTTGTCAGGTTAGCCCAGGACCAGGCAGTGTTTCGTTCTGTTGTACACAGCATTGCTATGAGTCTGTACCTGACAACATACCTAACTGCTATGAGTCTGTACCTAACTGCACCTAACAATAACATGTTGTTTTTGTTAAGTGCCGTCGAGTCGGTTCCGACCCATAGGGACCCTGAACAGGTTTTCTGAGGCTGTAAATCTTTACAGAAGCAGAAAGCCTCATCTTTCTCCTGTGCAGCAGCTGGTAGTTTCGAACTGCTGACCTTGCAGTTTGCAGCCCGATTCGTAACCACTACACTACCAGAGCTCCTTCAACAACAACATATATACATATAAATATATTTTTTAATAATAATTTATTGAATTTTAGGTAAAATTTTACACAGCAAATTAAGTTCCCATTTAACATTGTCCTACAGATTGTTCCATGTCATCAGTTACATCTTCACAGTATGTCGGCTTTCTCTTCCAGTCTGTTTGTGCTGTTTCCATTGATCTGGCTTCCCTGACCCTCCTTATCTTATCATCTTTGCTTTTGGGGTAAATGTGGACTGTTTGTCTCATAATACAGGCAGTTCCCTGGTAACAGATGAGTTCAGTGTTAAGTGTCTCTACGTCAATTGTGTTGTTATTAAGTGCCATTGAGTCAGTTCTAACTTGTGGAGGTGGCGGTGACAGTGTGCCATGAAGTCGGTTCTGCCTCATAGCAAGCCTGTATAGAGTTTCTGAGCCTGTAAATCTTTATGGGAACAGAAAGTCTCATCTTTCTCCCACGGAATGACTGGTAGTTTCAAACTGCTAACCTTGTGGTTAGAGTCCGACTCATAACCACTACGCTACCAGAGCTCTTGGACTCAATGAGGGCATACAATATTTGTCTTTTTGTGATTGACTTATTTCATTCAGAATAATGTCCTCCAGATTAATCCGTGTTACATTTCACAGAATCTTCAGTATTCTTTATAGTGTAGTATTTCATTGTATGCATATAGCACAATTTGTTTATCCATTCATCTGTTGATAGGCACTTAGGTTGTGCCCATCTTTTTGTTAATGGAAAATGCTATAGTGACTCTTAAGTGTCCATATGTCACTGCTCTTGTGTCTCTAGGATTGCTGGGTCATAAAGTAATTTCTCTTGTACCATGTTATAATCCCACCAGCAATGTATAAGAGTTCCAATCCCCCACAGCCTCATCAGCATTTGTTGTCTCTTGCTTTTTACGTCATTGCCATTTTCGCAGCCGGAAGATATGGTATCTCATTGTAGTTTTGATTTGTATACCTCCAGTGGAGTCCTTTGAGGCATGTGGGCTAATGCGTCAGACTGCAAAGTTGTTTGAACTGCAGGGTCGGTGATTCAAGCTCACCAGCTACTCCTTGGAAACCCTATACAGGGTTGCTATGGGTCGGAATCAACTCGACAACACTTAACAACAACAGCTAATGAGGAGTCGTGGTGTGGCACTGTGGGTTAATGTGCTGGGCTGTGAAGTCGCTGTGAATTGTAAGGTCAGTGGTTCAAGCCCACCATCTGCTCTGCAGAAACCCTATACAGGGTCCCTACGGGTCGGAACCGATTCGATGGCACTAAACAACAGCAGCAAATACCTAATGAAGGAACCCTGGTGGCACAGTGGTAAAGCACTTGGCTGTGGATTTGAGTTTTGGGGGTTTGGTGTTTTTTGGTTTTCATTATTTTAGCCACATTTAACCGTTTTGAACTTGGATGAGTCAAATGCCCTGGGGAAGTTCATCATTCAAGTCATCGATGGCACACATGTCTTTGTGACAGCAGAGCTAGTGAATGTCCTCCATCAAGTGGGTTCCAACTCATAGTGACCCTGTGTAGGGTTTCTGAGGAGCGGCTGGTGGGTTTGAACCATCAACCTTGAGTTTATCCTACAGCGCCACATAAGGACTCCATCTGTCCTGTGTCCTTGACTTCCCCATCCCCCTCTTATTTACTGTCCACTGGATTCTGACTCCTGGTAACCTCATAGAGCACAACTGCCACGTCAGAGTTCCTGGGTTATCATCTGTAGGGGGCGTGGGGGCTCCGTAGGTGGCTCTGTTCACTAACTGTGAACCTGAAGGTTGCCGGTTTGATCCCACCAGCTGCTCTGTGGGAGAACGATGAAGATGAGGCTTTCTGTTCCCACAGAGATTTAGTCTCTGAAACCCTACACAGGGTCACTATGAGTCGGAACCAACTCAATGGCACTTAACAATCTTAGAAAGCAGGTTACTAGGGCATTTCTCCTGAGGAGCAACTGGTGGAGTCAAGGCACTGACTTTACAGAGGACTCCTTACTCATGTAGGCGAGGGAAGCAAGTTCCCTGTCAGACCTGAGCAGGAAAAGGGAAGTTCTGGATGAGTGCAGTGTTGGTGTCCCGCCTGTGGCTGCCTCAGTTTCCTTCCCAGAACACAATTGGAAGTGTCCTGTTTTGTACCCTAGTTCTTCCAGAATTTCCCGGGTGTGTCTGACCCAACCCAGGATATTTATTTATTTCTCTGGACGCCTTCTATCAGTCCTGGGGGAGTTGGTCACATCAGTGAGATGTCACGTCAGGCTTCTGTGTTTTGTTCACTGATGATTCCCGGGCCCCACATAACTACCCAGCAACCGCAGGGTACCAAGGGTGTAGTGAATGACAGAGTAACACATTCGCTGTTGTGATTAAGTGCTGTTGAGTTGGTCCTGGCTCATTTCAACCCTGTGTAGGGTTTCCGAGAGACAGCTGGTAAGCTTGAACCGCTGACCTTGTGGCTTGCAACCTAGTGCTGATCCTGAACAAATCTGTGTCGCACATCAATCAAGAGCCCATCTTTCTCCTGCACAGCTGCAGGGTAGGAACCACCACGTTCAATTGAGCAGCTGAGTGCCTAATCATGGTGACGTACCCAAGTGTATACCAAGTATACCAAGAACATATACTAGAAACTCAGTGTAGGGTTTGGTCATTCTGACATGGGCAGGCCTGTTGTTTAAGTCATTAGACAACCTAGTGAATTGGTGAAATCAGTTAAAATCTTTTTTATATTCAGTCAGGCTCGACTTTATTTAATAGTATGTCATGAATCAGACTCATCTAGGGAATGAAATTTGTTGTTATTGTTGTTGTTAGGTGCCATCGAGTTGGTACCTACTCATAGTGACTTTATGCACAGCAGAATAAAACACAGCCTGATCCTGGGCCAATCTCACTACTGTTGCCACGCTTGAGTCCATCAATGCTGCCACTTGGCCAATCCGTCTTGTTGGGGGTCTTCCTCTTTTTCTCTGACCCTCCACCTTACCAAACATGATATCCTTCTCCAGCGACTGCTCCCTCCTGACAATATGTCTGAAGTATGAGAGATGAAGTTTGGCCATCTTGGCTTCCAAGGACCACTCTGGCTGCACTTCTTCCAAAATGGATCTATTGGTTCTTTTGGCAGCCCATGGCACTTTCAATATTCTCCTCCAACACCGTAACTCAAAAGCATCAATTCTTCTGCGGTCTTCCTTATTCACTGTCCAGCTTTCGCAGGCATATGAGGTTATTGAAAATACCATGGCTTGGGTCAGGCGCACCTTAGTCCTCAATCTTTGCTCTTCAACACTTTAAAAAGGTCTTATGCAGCAGACTTGCCTAAGTCTGCTATGTCTAAATCAAATGCAATACGTCGTTTGATTTCTTGACTGCTGCTTCCGCGAGTGTTGATAGTTGATCCAAGAAGAATGAAGTCCTTGACAACTTCAATCTTTTCTCCATTGATAAGAATGTTGTTTATTGGTCCAGTGGTGAGGACTTTTGTTTTCCTTACATTGAGATGCAATCTATACCAAAGACTGCTCTTTGGTCTTCATCGGTAAATGTTTTAAGTCCTCTTCACTTTCAGCAAGTGAGGGAATGAAATATAAGGGGGCTTCAAAAAGTTCATGGAAAAATTCCATTATCCAGTTCCTTCATAATTCTTTTCAGGAGCCTTACTTTGCAGTTCTTTGTTAGCTTTGTTTCTGCCTGTATTTGAACTTGAAGAAGTAGAGCTGACTTATTTTCAGTAAATCATATTGGCCTCCTTGGAATGAAACTGATGCCTTTGTAAGTGACGTAGGTATGTAAAGAAACCAAAAGATTGTATAAGATCCTGCTTCTCAGAATTAATAAGTTCTTCAGGCAATACAACATTTTATGTCCCTCTTTGGCTAAACATTTCATTGATAACTAGGTCAAAAATGTTCTTCAGTGAAATTCAGGGTTTTTATGAAAGACATACTTCTGTGATCGTGTGCTGCCCACCAAGATACCGTATCCCTGTTACCTTCTTACAGCCCCATTCTTTCCAAACTAAAAGCCACCATGAGGAGAATTGAATTGTCCCCTTTGAACTCACAGTTCTCAAAGAGGAGGTAGGTAGGATTTCCTTCAGAGATGCTGAAAAATAAAGGTCAGAACTCTTAAGGAAGGAGTAAAACTCCAGTACTGACTCTCCTTTGCTTGTGTCTCCTTTAATTTTCCTACCAGTTGCCCCATGAAGGTGCATGTCTGTAGATGAAAAGAGGGGCTGCAGAGAGAAGTACCTGTCCAGGTCATGCAGGAAGTGCTGAATCCCAATTGGACTGTGCACCCCAAATTCTCAAACTGACTACTGACAGGTTGTGTGGTACACTTGTTACTGACAGGGATTGAGCAGAGATTGGTTTTCTTAAAACACGGTGGTCGTGGACAAGTAAGGAATGCCATTTCAAAAGCAATTATACTTTTTTATACTTGTCAGTGAGACATTTTTTAACAATCCTATCATTGGCCTCTTTCTCTTCAACATCCACTAATTCCTGGTGTGGCACTGTAGGATTAGCACTGGACTGTGAACCACATGGTCAGAAGTTCAAACCCACTAGCCGCTCCTCAGAAACCCTATACAGAATGGCTGTGAGTCGAAACTGACTCGATGGCACTTAACAACAACAACCATTCTGAAATGAAGCTGAGGCACTTCAGGCAGAAAAAGAGTGAGGAATTTAATAGCAGCTTTGAACTTTAAAAATTTCTTCTAAAAGTATCCTGTGCTCAAATTCTATTGCACAGTGAAGTCTCCGGGTGGTAACATGGTGTCTTAAGTCTTGTGTTTGTCTCCGCAGTGACCCAGCCATGAAGCAGTTTCTGCTGTATTTGGATGAGTCAAATGCCCTTGGGAAGAAGTTCATCATCCAAGACATCGATGACACACACGTCTTCGTGATAGCAGAGTTAGTGACTGTCCTCCAGGAGCGAGTTGGGGAACTGATGGACCAGAATGCTTTTTCTCTCACCCAAAAGTGAGCGCCTTAGATACTGGCAACGAATGTCAAACAGCCTGTCATCACCGTTCAGTATAATCTGTGACTGATTAGAACTAGAGAGTTACTTTGGGCATGTGACGGGAAGGACTGGGGTGTCATGTGTTGAGAAAAAGCCCTCTGAACAGATTTTGTTGTGTTGGTTTTGTAAGTACATGTGCCCTCGAATTAATTTTTTGAAAAAAATGAAGCTGCCTAAATAGTTGGCTGTACTATCATTTATTAAAATACAAACTGAAATGTTCTTCATACCTTTTTCATGTAAATTTAATGCATCAAGAATATAATGGAATATGGTCTTAAATTATCAATCCAACCTAGGGATTTATTTAGCCTATTCCTGTTAATTAAGGATTGTGGGTTTTTTTGTGTTGGTATTTTTATTTGTTTTAATTAGAAACCTCATAGATTTACTATTTTGATTAAAATGCCAGAAAGGGAACTTGGGGAATAGTTACGTCTCATGAATACTATTTGCATATCAGGCAGCTCTTGATGAGGAAGATGGGGAAGAGAACTTGTAACATTTAAACTGTTTTACTGAAGATAAATCAAGAATGCTTTCAGCAGTACATGGGGAACTGCTTGAAATTCACGAGATTCAGAAGGCTCTTTCTGCTGATGCCAGATGGATCTTGGCTGAGAGCAAAGACTATCAGAAAGATATTTACCTGTGTTTCATTGACCATGCAAAGGCATTTGACTTTTTGGATCATAACAAACTTTGGATAACGTTGTGAAGAGTAGGAATTTCAAAACACTTAATTGTGTTCATGCAGAACCTGTGCATATACTGAGAAGTAATTGTTCAGACAGTATAAGAACACCTAATGGTTTTAAATCAGGAAAGGTGTGTGTCAGAGTTGTGTCCTTTCACTATTTTTATTTAATCTGTATGCTGAGCAAATAATCTGAGAAACTGTGCTGTATGAAGAGGAATATGGTATCAGGTTTAGAGGAAGACTTTTTTAACAACCTGCTCATTAACAAATACCTTGTTTACTGGAACCAAAGAGGATTTGAAGTACTTCCTGATCAAAGACTACAACCTTGAGTATGGATTACAGTTCCATATAAAACTAACATATATCCTTACAACTGGACCAACAAGCAACATCATGATAGATGATCATATTGACTTTGTCAAGAACTTCATTTTACTTGCATCCACAATCAATACCCATGGAAGCAGCAGTCAAGAAATCAAACAGTGCATTGCATTTGGCAAAATGGTTGCTAAATACCTTTTTAAAGTGTTAAAAAGCAAAGATGTCACTTTGAGGACTAAGGTGTGTCTGACCCAACCCTGGATATTTTCTATTGCTTTATATGCATTTGAAAGCTGCACAGTGAATAAAGAATGAAGAATTAATACCTTTGAATTCGTGCTGTTGGCAAAGAATCTTGGAAGTACCATGGACTGCCAGAACAACAAATGTGTCTTAGAAATACAGCGAGAATGTGCCTTAGAAGCGAGGATGTTGAGACTTCATCTCCTGTACTGTGGACCGGTACCAGGAAGGACTGCTTCTTGGAGAAGGACGTCGTGCATGGTAAAGTAGGTCAGTGGAAAAGAGGAAGGCCCTCCACGAGATAGACTGGCACAGTGATTGGCAGTGAGTGTGAGGATGGGCAGCACCGGACACTGTTTCTTGCTGTTGTCCAGAGGCTCTCTAGGAGTGCGATCCAGCTGGACGGTGCCTAACAACAGTCAGGGTTAGAAACTGCCTAATGGGAAAGGTCCTTTGCATCTTGAGTTGACCTGCTCAAACTTTATTGGTCAATTTTTCCCATCAGGCTAAGCATTCTTGTAATAAATCAGTTTTACCTGTGCCTTATTCCCGTGAGAGTCCCTAATTCAAATGAACTTTAAAAAAAAAAAAAAAAAAAAAAGTTAGGACCAGATAGAAGCAAAGGCAGTCTCAAGGAAAACATGTCAGATTACGGTCTGGTGTGTGCAGTGCTGTGACTGGAAGGAGCAGGCTGATTTACACTGATAGGGCCTTTGCTTTCCTTGAGGATTGTGGCAGGGAACTGGGTTCCTGTGATGGGAACTTCCCAGAGGAGAGAATTGCATGATGTTGTGTGGAATCCTCCCCAGCCCAGGTCTCTCTATAGTATGTTTCCATTTCATTCCTTGCCTTGCTGAAACTGGAAATCTTTACAGTTCAATTGTGTTGACCATGATTCTAGATAACCGCACACAATTTTGATTCCTACATAACAGTCCACTGAATTTTGCTGGTGTATCTGGTTCTAAAACTTGTCAGATGGAAAAAATGTTTCTTCAGAATTTTCAGCTATATCAAAATAATAATGAATTTTGTATTTCAAGCATGTCTCAGTCAATTTTTATCATACCTGTGGCATTTGTCACCTAAGGTTGGCAGTTCAAGCTCACCATCTGCTCCTTGGAAATCCTATACAGGTCGCTATGGGTGGGAATTGACTCGATGGCACTTAACAACAGCAACAACCTTTCAGGCAGATCTGCTGCACAAGACCTTTTTAAAGTGTTGAATAGCAAAGATGTCTGCTTGAGGACTAAGGTGAGCCTGACCCAAGCCATGGTATTTTCAAATAACCTCATATGCATGCAAAAGTTGAACAATAAATAAGGAAGACTGCAGAAGAATTGATGCTTTTGAGTTATCGTGTTAGAGGACAATATTGAAAGTGCCATGGGCAGCCAAAGAACCAATAAATCCATTTTGGAAGAAGTGCAGCCAGAGTGCTCCTTGGAGGCCAAGATGGCCAAACTTCGTCTCTCATACTTCGGACGTATTGTCAGGAGGGACCAGTCGCTGGAGAAGGATATCATGTTTGTTAAGTTGGAGGGTCAGAGAAAGAGAGGAAGACCCCAACAAGATAAATTAGCCAAGTGGCAACATCGATGGACTCAAGTGTAGCAACAGTGGTGAGGTTGGCCCAGGATCAGGCAGTGTTTCGTTCTGCTGTGCATAAGGTCACTGTGGGTTGGTACTGACTCGATGGCACCTAACAACAACAACAAACCTTTTATGGACTCCTAGTGTGGCACTGCAGGGTCAGCAGTTCAAACCTACCAGCTACTGCTTCAGAAACCGTATACAGGATGACTGAGTCAGAACCAACTTGACAGCACTTAACAACAACAACAATCTTTTATATTAACATGAAACTTGGACAGGTCTTTCCTTAGAATTCTAGCATTAAAATTAGGCATGGAGGAAAGTACATTTCTTAGTGACTACAAAGACCTAAGTGTAGGAAGCTATTGTGTTCATTCTTATTTTTAAAAGGTTGTGTTGGGGCTATCTTACTATGCTGCATGAAGGAATATGGGAGAGTGACAACTGGAAGGCAGCTGACTTCCTGTCATCCCGCCATTGTAGGACCAAGACATCCTGGGTAATCTGGAGAAGGCGTCCCACGGCCAGTCTCACGCCCGTAGTGGACTTGTCCAGTTCTGAGAGACCAGCCGGCTTTCTAAGTGAACTTGTCCAACGCTGGCTGCGTTTCTCAGGATTCTGTCAGCATCATTTGATTTGCTGTACTTACATCTTCAAGGATCCCTGGTAGCATAGTGGATGATGAGCTGGGCTGCTAACCACAAGGACAACAGTTTGAATCTACCAGTTGCTCTGTGGAAGAAAGATGAGACTTTGTGTGCGCAAAAAGATTTACAACCTCGGAAACCCTCTACAGAGTCATTCTGAGTCAGAACAGACTCAGTGGTGTACCACCATCACCACCACAGCTTACATCTCCAGAATAGAAGGTGTTGGGTGCTTGATGCCGAAGAAACTCACTACACCCATTCCTCACCTACTGTGAGAGAAACAGGTGGGCCTGTCTTCAGCCCTGTTCCTCACCCCCCACACTGGTCACTTATAACCCATCGTGCACTCCCATGTGGCATGGCAGGCCACGCTTTCCCACCACCACGGGGCCCACAAGGGTTGGGGGTTCAGTGGTGATCAGGTGTTGCCTTCCACCTCCCAGAGCCTGCCCTGGGCAGTGACATCACCCATCTGCCACCTTCCCCTGGTTTGCACTGGCCCCACAGACCCTTGTGAGGTCCTTCATTCTCTCCTCCTGCCCACCGCCCCCTACTGATCTCCCCAGCACCTTGGGGCCTTTGCCCTGCTTACCTCTGCCGGCCCATGACCTCGTGTCATCGCTCTGTGGCCGGACCAAGGCATCGCTGATAATAATGGAGAAGGTGTTCCACTGCCAGCCAACCCCTGTCCCTCATGGGGTCATCGCTGGGGCCTCTGGTTTATTATTCAGGGTGGCCAATTGAGGGCACCCTGGGCCCAGCCGTGCCTTCATGTGCGTCTGGACCACTGAGAATTGTTCCAAAGTTGTCATAAATGTGATATGTCAGATAACAAAATAGTTGGTGAGTATGTATACTGTCTTGTTTTAACAAACTACCAAATACGTTGAAAGGGTAGTGTAGCTTACATCTTACTGCTTTAAACAATCAGTTTATAGAAGGGAGCCAATCAGTCTTAGACATCTATGATGAAATCTGTGATGTTCTCAAGTAGTATCAAAGGTTTTTTATCATATGCAGCAAAGGGAACACTGAAAGGACTATTGGTGATACTTGAATAAGCTCGTAGAAGTACTGTTCTCAATACGGAAGCCCCTGGTCGGTGAAAATGGTTACTGGGCTCCACGGCTACCCCAATGTTGGAGGCCCAAGTCTACCCAGAGGTACCTTGAAAGGAAGGCCTAGTGATCTACTTTTAAAAACTCAGACATTAAAAACACTGGAACCTTGGAACAACAGTGGTTGCCGTCAGGTGCCGTTGAGTGTACCGACTCCTAACGACCTTATGCACAACTAATCTGTGCCACCCTCACAGTCATTGCTACGCTTGAGGCCATTGCTGATGCCACAGCACCAGTCCGTCTCGTTGGAGATCTTTCTCTTGCTGACCCTCCATTTTACCAAGCACAATGTCCTTCTCCAGGGACTGGTCCCTCCTAAAA